TCTACGGAGGAGACACCTACCTACCTGCCTGCCTACCTGGGGTTTTTGCCAGTTAGAGAAGCACCCACCTCCTCAGAACCAGGCCCTGGAACCTAGAGCCTGCTCCCTGGGGCTTCCAGAGTCAAGGTCCTAGGCCTGCTCTGTAGGGAAGTTGTAGGGGCAGTGCAACCTGGGACAGGGTCTCTCTCAGCCTTGGTTACTAAGGGTTTGGAAGAGGGGATTGCTAGGCTCCTGAGCTCTGATACCCACAGGTCTCTCTCTGCCATCCTCTTGCATGATACCTTCAGGTGCCACCAGCTGTCTCCATGCCATAGCATGTATGGAGCCTGCTGCTTAACTCACTGTTCCTCATCCTTGAATCCTAGATGCCTTCCAAGTTGGGCCCAAATGGGCTTCCCCCATTGCAGTCCCAGTGACTGTATCACAACAGCTGGTGGTTGGTCTGTCACCCTAATCCTAGGTGGCAGGGACCATGAGGGAGGGGATGGTGTGAGTGCTTGGTCATGGGCTGTGCCCCAGTACCCAGCTGAGGAAGTGCTCTGTAAATATCTGAGCATCATGAGCATTGGTAGGGTGAACATGGGCAGGTGAAGGATGCCTTGATAGAGTATGGTGATTAAGGATGAGGAGGGCTGTCAAGCCAGGTTACTAACTAGCTTTAAGACCTTGGACAACTTAAATCCTCAGGGTCTATTTCCACATCTTTAATATGGGATAATAATAACCAAGACTACCCCACAGGGTTCTTTTGAGAATGACATGAGATGATCGTGTAAGGGCTTGGCATGTAGGATCCCCTCACCCCACAATGGGGTGCTTGCAGATTCCTAGAAACCAAGGCCTTAAGGCCAAGATGAAGGGAGATGTGTCAGCCTGCACTGCCCCCACCACTCTCCAGCCATACCAGACCTCTCACCACAGGGCCTTTGCACCAGCCATCTCCTCCACCCAGCTTTCCCTTCCCACCATTCATTCCACACTCCATTCAAATTCCACCCCTTCGGAAAGGTTTTCCCAGGTCTCCCAGGCACAGGCCTGGTACTTTATTGAATACCTTCACAGCATGTCACTACCAGCCCTAATTTATTTGGTTGCTTGCTGTCTGTCTCCCTTACTAGAATGTTAAGCCCCTGAGGGCAGGGACTTGTGCGTCTTTTGTTTATGGCTATATTTCCAGCCTACAACAAAAACTGGCATTTAGTAGGTGCTGAGAATTTAATGAATAACAAATATTCAGGAGGGGACAGTGTGAAATCTCTTTCTGCTGGGTAAACTGAGGCACAAAGGGGTGGCTGGCATCCCTGACAACTCAATTTCTCCCCAGCCACCAGAGGGCACAAGCTGTTTTGGCACATGGCTCATGGGGAGGACTCACCAAGACAGTGCAGCAAGACAGTGTGAGGATAGACTGCTGGGGTACAAGTGGATGACCCTGGGGAACAAGTGGACTTGGGGCAGGGAGCTTGAGGTTCTAAGCTGGGCACCTGAACCCAATTTGTGTGCTCAGAGGAGGGAGCAAGGCAGATCTGATTTCAAGTCTCAGCTCCTTGCTACCCACTGTGGGGCCTTGGTCAGGTAGCTCATTTGCTTGCAGGGCCTCTGTTTTAATTACTAGAAAATGAAAAACTAAGCAGAGTGCAAAGAGAAGGTTCTGGACCCAAGGAGAATCTGAATCTCAACTCAGTGCCTGATGGGCTGAGTGAATTGGCCCTGTCTGAGCCTTGGGAATGGGGCTGGATGCTCCCCCAGGGCCACAGGGCCCACTCTCTTACCAGAAATGCCACCTCTGCCATCCAGAATGTCTCGAGGGCCTTCCTTGGTGACAGGCAGGTAATGGGTGGATTGGAAGATGCCACCATCCCCCTCAGCAGCCTCAGCTCCACCTTCAATGTCCTCCCTTGGTGCTGGACCCGGCAGTCTCTCAGGGCCCCGAGGACGATCTGGGACAGCCAGGCCACCTGCCAGGGGTCCATCCATGGATGCTTTCTGCTTGGCTCCACTGAGCTGCCAGGCTGGCTCAGCGAGGCATTGTAGGCCTGGAGGCAGAGAGACAGGTGCTTAGGAGAGGTAGAAAAGGGACTCTGCCTCAGTTTCTCCTTCCTTGAGCTGTAGTCCTCATTCTTGCAGGCCAGTACCTCAGTTTACCTCCTGGCCAGGTGTGCTGGGGTCCTATACAGATATACGGAGAACACTCTTTACATAGATCCTGTGCTTGCCTCAGTTTGCCCATTTTTACACATGCACGCTCAGCCACCTGTTTTCTTCCAGCATTAATCTTATCACTTCTTGGAGAGTGCCCTCACTTCCAGGCACACGTATATCCTATGCCCCTGCCATGGCATGCATGCTGGCCACTTTAACACTCTGATCTTAGACCCTGTCTAAAGTCCCTCCCATCATTACTCCTGCACTTTCCCACACTCTAGCCTTCCACCCACAGTCTTAGGGTTCTCCAGCATTAACACCTTCACCCTCACAACAGCCTCAAGTGACCCCAGATTAACCCCTTCGCTTTCCCCCAATATTACCCCTCATGCACACCCTGCCTGGATTCCTCCATTCGACCCTCCCAATATCTCTCTAGTCTGTAGGCAATAGGGACGGATGGGGCTCCTGGTCCAGAAATGAGGACCCTGAGGAGGCTGTGAGGGTGGGGGCTGTCCTCTACACCTATAAATACCTTCAAGGTAACGGCGGAAAGTGAAGGGCAGGAATGAGGCGCCCTCCCTGGGGAGATGGTGGGGAGGCCGAGCCCAGGCAACCGGGGCGGGGCCGGGGTTCCAGGCCTGGCTGCGGGCGCTGCCCTGGGGGCCTGGGGGCTCCCAAGGGGCCCGTCCGAGGACTGGCAGTCGTGGCGGGGGTCCCTGCCCAGGCCTGAAGGAAGCACCTGCGGGTACCCACCGGGTGGGCAATACCGGCGAGGAACCGGTGGGATCGCAACTTCGGAGCACTTTGGCAGCGTGAGGAAGGGGGATCCTGCCTGGACGCCCCCCGGGAGTCTCAGGGGTGGGAGTGGCGCCGCGCCAGAGCACCCCTCGGGGGACCAAGGTCCAGGAGCTGCGCCCTCCGCCCGTGCATCTCGGGGCGGGAGACCCCGCGGGACGCGCGGAGGTGGGGGGGACACCTGCCCCAGGACCCCCGCTCCTCCCCCCACCTGTGCGGCCCCGCCCCCGACCAGGCCCCGCCCCTGAAGGCCCCGCCCCCGCCCCCCGCCCCGGGGGGTCCCGCCTGGCCCGGCCCGGCTGGGCCTCCCCCTCCCCGCGTCGGCTCCGCCCCGCCCGCGGGCTCCCCAGGCCAGACCGGGCCTCACCAGGGAGGCGGCGCCGCTGGCCAGGCACCGGAGCTCGGAGCTCCCCTCCTTGATGCGGCAGTCGCTGTTGCTACCGCCGCTGCCGCTACCGGTACCGGTACCCCGGCCTTAGCAGCCACCGCTGCCTCCAACGCTCGGGGGACATTGTCCCTTTAAATCGCTCCCCCCGCCGCCCCGCCCCCCCGGCGCGCCGCCGTGACCTAAGCGCGACAGCCCCGCCGCGCCGCCATGATGGGGAGGTCCGGATAGCAACCCCCGCCCCCCCCGCCCCCCTCAGTGGCGCCCCGGAACGGGAGCGGTCAGCGCGGGCGCGCCATGTTGGGAGTGGCCAGGCGGGTCACCCTTAAAGGCCCCGCAGACTGGGAGTCCAGGGAGAGGCTCTATTATCATGACAACACTCTTGTCCTCCTGCCCCCCACCCACATGGCCCATCACTCCACTGGTTCTTCCAATGCTATGTTCGCTAATAGCACTAGAAGAGTGGGAAGGGGGCAGAGAACTTCCCCAATGGGTCACTTAGATCATTGAGGACTCCACCCAGTCATTCCTTAGCCTTCAGGCCCCAATCAGCTACCTTCCAACCACAAGCTCACTCCCTCCTTCCTCATTATCCACACTGGACTTCAGAACCTCCATGGCCCTAGACCCTACCCTAGGTTCCCACTGCTAAGCCCCTCTTCTCCAGCCAACCCCCAGTATTGCAGCCTCCTATTACACACACATAATATGCCTGTTGCCTTCTCCCAGCCACCACCCATCCACATGTCTAATCATGCAGCTTTCCACCCATTCATCCACACAACTGAATTGATCAACCGTACATCTACCCATCCAATCAACTAACCACCTATCCATCCACCTGTCCAACACCTACCCATCCATCCATCCAAAGACTCACTCAAACCACCCATCTACCTCTCATCTACCATTCAACTAATGCCAGATCCTGTTAGCCAGCTAACCATACTCCAAAATCCCCACACCCATCAACCCATCGAAACATCCATTCAACTCACCCATCATGTCTCATCTACTTGTCCATCTACTACCACCCAAATGAATACCTACTTATCTATACACCTCCACCCTTCTCTACTCAGAACCTTTCACCACCTACCCAAACATCCATCCACCCATCAATTGCATATTTACTTGTTTGCCTCTTCCATGAGAGTGTACATTCCCTGAGGATAGAAGTCCTGTCTAATTCATTACTGTTTACCCACTGCCAGCTCAAGAGTCTCAGGACACTTTAACAAATGTCGTATGAACAACATATATAACCACATGCTCAATTAATTCAAATATTGATTTCCTAGTATGATATGGGCTTTTTCTAGGCAGATGTACCCATCCAAACTAACCACCTACTTAACTACTCATCCACTAGTGCAAACATCTAGCAAATGCTAACCTATTCATTTGCCTATGTCCCATCCACTCTACCCCTCCCCCATAATTCAAATGTTCACTCATTTACCGAGCCGACAGCCACAGAGCTCAGCTACCTCCACACTTACCCACCTATTTCTTCATCTGCTTCCCAGACTCATGCTCTCCTTCTCATGAAGGAGCTAGTATGGGATTTAGGGACCCTGGAAGATACTCTCAAATGGGGCATGGAAGTTGGTGGAGGTGGGATCTAGTGGGGATCTGGGCTTCATTAAGTAGATGTAGGGCCTAACAAATGATGAATACCTTTTTTTGAATACTTTAAGCAACGGATCTTTTACTGTGTAAGGACCTTTAGATCTGACTTACAGATGAGGACATTGAGGCTCTAAGACAGTGAAGGCCTGCAGTCACACAGCTAGTGAGAATGTCTTTACATCTCCCCTTTCATTCCTTCCAATTAGGAGAGAATTTAGGAGAGGGGTTGCTTTCTGATTGGCAACACTTAGGGACAAAGAAACCACTGATTTCACTGAGATCAAGGTTTTACTGGGCAACCTCACAGTGCCAGACTGGTTGCCACCTACAGCTCCACTCCACACTGTAGGCCATGTAGGGCTGAGGTAGGGCCCCTAATACGGATCACTCTTTGCTCCCAGACCCTGTGGTGTGGCGTGGGCAGCTCAGGTGGTGTCTCCGTTGACGAAGGGTGCTTTGAGGGGCAAGGGCTGGCTCCGGGTCTCTGGCGTCCATGGAAGGAACTGCAGGCTCTGGATGGCTTCCCTCAGCTGGGCTTGAGAACTCTCCATCTCAACCAGGCGATGTTCCTGGAGAGGCAGCGGCAGTGGGCTCAGAGCCAGGGGAGAGTGGCACCCCAACTCTCGTTTCCTCACTTCCCACATCTGCCCCAGAATCCGGTCACAGGGGTGGGGTGTGTGTGTGTCTCACCAGACTTTTCAGACAGTGAGCTTCACTGCTTGGAGGGTCGCACTCTAGATTCAAATGCGAGGTCCTGTGGGAATCAAGAGCAAGGGGGAAGCTCAGAGGTTGGGGAACTCCCCTCCAGCCCCTGATTGGAAAGCTAGGGTCAGGGAGGCGGAGCTTGAAGTTAAAGGTGGAGTTTGTGCAGAATAGGGAAAGAAGCCTCGGTAAACTTGAAGGGGCTCTATCAGAGCCTGGAATGCCTAGGGTGAAAGGACAAACAAAACCTTTGGAGTCAGGGCTTGGTCCATCCTGGGTGGAGTGATGACCAGGATGGGGGCGTGCCCAGACGGAGAGGGCCTGGCCCAACCTGCTTAGTAGGGCCTGTTTGAGGAATAGGGCCTGACCAGACCACTTGCCAGGGACCTGCAGTCGGGCTCACCTAGGTACTGGCAGAGCTTTAAGAGGTGGGTTTTAGACAGGTAAGTTGGGGCGTGACCGTGCCTGGCGGGATTTGAGTGAGACTGATTGACTGAGAGACAAGGCCTGAATGAAAGTAAGGCCTGGGTGATCTGGTTATGTATAGCGGGTCTACCCGGGGGGTGGAGCTAATAGAGAGGTAGGACTCACCTTCCACGGAGCCTGGAGTCCAGGTGTTCCAGCTGGCCGCGAAGCTGCTGCTGCTGTTCAGTCAAGTCCCGGATGTGTGTGCTCAGCGACTCCACTAGGCCGGACAGCACCTTCTGTTCCTTACGCAGGGCGGCCACTTCGCACTGCAGCTCGGCCAGCTGTAGGGCAGGAAGCCATTGTAACCTGACCCACAGTCCCACCCCTTTTTCTCCCTGAAGACCCTGATCTGCCTGGTCCTTGCGCTCTACCTCCTCACTACCTATCTCTTGGGGAACCTCGTTCACTTATACAGAGGAGGAAACTGAGGCTCCAAGAGGATCGAGCTAGGTCCGAGGTAGCACGACTCAGGGAGCTCATATTTGAACCCAGACCTGCCTAGTTTACAAGTCTCGTCTCTGCCCTCGGTGTGCGGACCTGGGCTGGGCCTTACCTTGCCCATGGGACGGTGCGTGCCTGGCGCCTGGTCTCTGTCTCGCGGCTGGTCCAGGTGGCGCTGCCAGGGTACTGACGGCTTCCGAGGAAGAGAGGCCGACGCCCCGGTGCGGGGCCAGCCGCGGGGCATGGGGCCTGTGAGTAAAGAGCCTTTGGGTCGCGGCCGGGGGCCTGCGGAAGGGCGGCGGCGAGCTGGGCGGCCAGCCGGTACACTCTGCGTGCGTTGCACAGGTTGGGGCAGCCGTCGGGGCTGCTCCTGGTCTGGCCGCTGCAGGGCCCAACATCCTGAGCTGTGAATGCTGCGAAGGGACTGGCTCTTGGAGATGAGAGGGCTGTGCTTGGGGAGGTCCCGAGGGGGCAGGAAGCCTGGCTTCTCCCCTGCTGAAAAGCTGGGGGTGAGATGGAAAAGCTCAGACCCTTGACTGGCCCCTGAGCAGATCCTACTCTTAGCTCTGATCTGAAATGACCACACCCATGATTTCTTTACTCCTGGGTAACCCAGTTGCTGACAGGATCACATGTTGACCTCTGACCCTGTTCTGAACTTCCGACAGTACTGTCCTCTCTATGATCCTTTGACACCAACCCCAATCTAACTTTTGACTCTTTTCTAGACTTGTCTTGAACTCTGACACAGTATGACCCTTGACTTGACCCTCTCTGTAACTTCAGTTCCAATTTGACCTTGGGCTCAATCTCTGCTCACAAGGGTATCCTCTTCCTAACTGACCCCCTTGTACCCCCAACCTCTGACTTTAGACTGACCTGTCTCTGACCTGCCCCCTGAAAGACGGTGGTCTGACCTCTGACCTCAAACATGACTCTGCCCATACCCTTGACCCATCTGCCCCTTACCTCTGCTTACAACATTAACCTGTCCATAACCCTTGATGGTGTATCTTAATGTCTGACCTGACTCTGATCCCCGATTAAACCCCCTTGTCAATCTCTCACTGAACCCTGAGCTTCATTGCTGACCACAATGTCATTTTCTCTCTCTGACACCAGATGGGGTTTCTCCCTTACCTCTGAAATGACCAATTTCCATCCTGGACTTCAATCTGGTCCAGTGCCTACCATCTGACCACACCGTGAGCCTCGCCCTGACCCCTTGGACGACCCCGCCTCCAGCCTCTGACTTCCACCCAACACTGTTTCTGCCACTGACCCCGATGTGATCCTGGGCCTGACCCCTGACATAATCCTGACTTCACATAATCCTGCCTTTACCTCTGATCCCAGCCAGACCCTGTGCTTGCCTTTGGCCCTGCCCCTTCTCTCAGCCATCAGAACTGGACCAGACTGGAGGCAGGCAGGTTACCTGGAGTGGACCTGGGCTGGGGGTGGTGGAAGACGCATTGGCACAGACACAGGTACAGGCCGGCCTTCCTCTATGGCTTGCAGGATGGTGGGCAGAGGTTCCAGGTTGTCACGGGTTGCCTGGTGAGGCATGTAGGGAAGATGATGAGCAAGCTCTCTGGGGACAGAATTTCCCTGCCCTCTTTCCACCCTATGCCATGTCCTGGGCTCTAGGCTCAGGTCACACCTGGTTAAGTTCAGCAAAGATGGTACAGAGCTGGGCATGCAGGACTGCCAGCTGGAGGGCCAGGTCGCTGCTGCCCTGGTAACCACTAGGTGCTGCATCCACATCAACCATGGCCACTTGGTCCAGGAAGTGTTTCATGGCAGGTCCATGATTCTCCAGGAAGCTATTCATAAAGCCCATGTAGGCCTCCTTTTCACCAAACCTGGGTCAGAGTCCAACTGAGTGGGTCAGGTCTTGCATCTGCCACCCCCATGGCCCCACTCTGCCCCTCAGCCTTCCAGCACCTACGGGGCATGATTGGCGAGGTTCTGGATGACCTTGGCAATCAGTGTCAGGGTGCGGGCTGGGCCAGGTGCTGGGTGCTCTGGTGCGAGGCCAAAGAGGCTGGGTGCCAGGATGGCGGGACACAGGAACCGCAGGAAGAGAGAGGCGCACACCAGCCGGGGGCCCAGCGCTTCGGAGCCACGGGCTTTGCATGCTTCTCTCCAACCTGAGAAAATGATGCCCAGCTCTGCTGGGAACCAACTGGGGCAGAATAGGCAGTGGTCAAAAGGGGAGTATATGGGAATAAAGTTCATGGATGATCGAACTCCTAAGGTCAGGTATCAGGAGTCACCTGCATTCTGAGTTCCAGGATTGGCCACATCGGGGATAATGATGCTTGGGGTCAGGATTTATGTTGGTGCTACTGTGGTGACTTCTGGAGTCAGTAATCTTGGAGTTGGGGGTACAGGTTCACATGGGGACAGAGGCCATGACCTTGGGATCTTGCTATCATATGAGATTGTGGTGCCCAATAGAGTACATAATATAACATAGAATGCGCTCACAGGGTCGTCTGGGTGCAGAAATCATGCTATTGATGTCCCAGGTAACATGGGATTCGGCATACAGGTCAGAGGTCAAGGAACTGGAATCCCAGGTTTTCTGTGATCAGTTGCATGGAATTTGCAGTAGAGGGTCGATTAAGGCCAAGGGTCATGGGATTGAGGGCACGATTATCACCTCAAATCAGAGGTCATAAGATTGAGGCTCTATGTTAACTGTGGTCAGGTGGCATGAAATTAGGGTATGTGGTCACTTGTGTTTAAAGGGCAAGGAATTGCATCCAAGGTTAATGGGTTTAGTTGGCATAACATTGGGAATGAGTTGCCAGAGTTAGCAAATAAAACTCTGAAATAACTTTAAACTTGAATTTCAGATAAAAAAATAAATAATTTTTAAGCATAAGTATGTCCCAAATATTGCATCCCATTTAACTGGGCACCTTGTATTTTATCTGGCAACTAGCACAGTGGCTGGGAAGCAGGATCAGGCTCAGGTGCTGGAGCCCTGATTCTTACTCGTAGGAGTGGATGATATTCTGGAAGACCTCCTCACAGTTGTTTTGCAGTCTGGCTTGGTGCTGGGGCAGCTCTGAGGCTGGGCACTTGCTGGGGTCCACCTCACAGTCCTCAGTGGAGTCACAGAGACGCCGCACGACCTGTCCTACATCCAGCACAGCCAGACAGGGGCCAGGGCCATGACCACCAGGACTCACCACACCCAACCTCCAGTCTATCTCCAATGTACTGAGGGGACACCTAACGTCTTGAGGAGTCCCCAGTTACCTCCAGGACCCCAGCACCCCCAAGGCATCACCTACTGCCAGAACCCAGTTTCCCCAGGGACTCCCTGATCTCCCCTGGGACCCCCTAGTCCTCCCAGCAGGCTTATGTCATACCCCTTCCCCTGCCCTGCTCACCCAGCGTCTCTTGGAGATAGTCCTGTGCCACCAGCTTCATGTACTCATCGATGGCCTTGGTGGCCAATGTGTTTTCCCGGAACAGCAGTGCCTCACGGCCTCCGCTGCGTGCCAACTCCGCGGTGCCCAGGTCTGTCACCAATGCCTGGACATAGTGGGTGTCATGTTGCCTGGGCACAGACCGAGCCAGGGGGAATCCCTGCCCTTGGTGAGTCCTTCCCACCTGGGCACAGGCCCTGCCCCCCACAGTTACAGGTCAGGCCCGGCCCTTTCTGCTGGAGCACCTAACAGGCCAGAACCTCTGCCTCTCACAGCAGAAATGTAAGCTTTTCAGAGCTGAGGCTCAGCTCAGGCCCAGACCTTCACCGCGGAATCTCAGGCCCCACCCCTCAGGGAGCCCCGGCCCTCGCAGGTGCCACTTAGTCTGGACATCGGGATCCGCCCAGTCGCCGCACCGCACCTGTGCTCGCCCGGTGGCCCTCAGCACTCGCACCATGGCAGCCGCCAATTCCTCCTTGGCCTGCGCAGACAGCTCGGGCTCCAGTGCCTCGCAGAGGCGTGCGTAGTGGAAAGTGAGGAACTCTGCTAGCTCCTTGTAGCGCTCGGACGGCAGCACGCGCAGGCGCCGAGCCCTGATGCGCGCTCTCAGCACCGCGCCGGCTGGCGCACCAAGCAGCGGGAACCAGCGCTCCAGGCCCGCGGCGGGCGCTCCGGAGGCTCCCAGCTCCTCTAGTGCCAGTGTCGCGCGTCCCAGAACCGAGCTTCCTGGGCTCGCTCCGCGCAGCCGCAACGACACACGATGCGCTGGCGGCAGCGCCTCGAAGTGGAAGCGCTCTGCCCAGAAGAGTGGATCCGGACCAGCCCTCGGTGCCGTGCGCGCCAGCAGGGCGCCGTCCAGCCACAGCTCAACCCGCACTCCAGGCTGCCCCGCCGCAACTCGTGGCAGCCCCTTTGCTTCGTGCACCCACACGCTGAGCCATGTCTCTTCTCGTTCTATGTTGTCCTGCGGAACAGAGTGGTGGAGGGAGGAGTGGGTGCTCGGTGGTGGGCACCGGAGGTGAAATATGAGGCCCATGTCCCCTGGGAGATCGCTGGGCCCTTGGGGGAAGAAAGTTGGGCCACAGGGGCCCCAAGGTGGTCAAGCGGAAGACCTTTAGCTGTTCTATGATCTCCCGGATAGATGGGTTCTATAGGGTGCTGTGGAACAGCCGTAGGGTGGGGAGTTGGAGACTACTTGGTAGGCGGAGTTTTGGGTGTGAATGGGATTCAGATTGAAAAGAAGGGGCGTGGGTCGTTGTGCAGGGGACTGGTATTAGATAGGGAAGGTCTCGGAGTAGTTGCACAGGTGTGGGTGGGCAAGAGTGTCTAAGGAGCGGGCTATGCCAGGGTTGGTAAAAGGGCTGGGGCTCCGGGTGTGGCCTGGGCCTTCAAGCCCCTGACTTTCCACAGTACTGACCTGGCTGGGCTGGAAGTGGCGACGAAGGTCCTCGATCCAGCGGTCTCTTTCAGCAGCCGAGCGACAGGAAAAGCAGCGGCTTCCTCCTGCCCATGTTACCTGTTGGGGAGGGGGATTTCAGTTTGCATTTGAGACCAAGGTGGATCCAAAGGGCCAGGATGAGGTGAAGAGTTGCCTACATTTACCTGGAAGCAGTGGGGCTCCTCCAGGAGGCTGGGGTGCAGCGGCCAGACCCGTACATCCCGTTCAGCGCCCAGGTCCAGCTCAGAGAGTGTTGCCAGAGATTCCCGAGAGCCCAGAGCACTGGGGGCTCTGGGGAGGAGATGGGGAATAAGGGTCATTTCTTGCTTCTCCTCCCACCACCCCCTACGGTCTGAAGGGTGAGGAGAGGCCTGGATGGACTTAAACCTAAACTGGACTTGAGCACATCACTTTTAGGATCAACCCAGCTTCTCATGGTGGCCTGCATGACCTTACGCAGTATAGCTCTTGATATCGTTTGACCTCATTTCTCTTCACTTAATCTCTCACTGTCTGAACTCCAGTCCCACTGGCCTTGTTTTTGTGTCTTCACCTGACCTCTTGGCCTTTGCGCATGCTGTTCCCTCTGCCTGGAATGCTGTTCCTGCTCTTCTCGGCCTAGTTAACTTCCACCCATCCTTCAGATTTCAGCTCAGTTCCCTTCCCTGACACTCCCAGACCAGGATGTTGACTTAGCCCCTGTTTTAGAATTATTTTGTCAGACTCTACTCCCACTCTTCCATGAGGAACTGGCTCCATGCTAGGGTCTTTCAGTGGCCCCAGCGTGGCTCAACAACACAGAGCAGGACACAGAGGGGGAAATAGAAGGTGTGTGTTGAAGGTCAGAGTGATAAGCGGGATGAGGGGGAGGGGGCAATGTTAAATCCCAGCCCCTCTAGCCCCTCAGAGACTCTTACCCATCCCGGGAGGCATTGGCTCCTAGCTCTGACCTGGCCTTTTTCTTTTCTTTCAGCCGCTTGAGCAGCCCCTGTGGGAAGAGGAACGTCAGCTGGGCAGAACCCTGTGTCCCCTCCTCAGCTCCTTTTTCCTCAGGGTGTCCTGGAGGGTCTACTATTCTTGGGGGGTCACAAGCTTAGGCAGCCACAAGCTCAGGCTGTATCAGTAGGAATAATAAAGGCAACCAATTGCTTCCATTTCTAAAGCACCAATCATATGCTTTTCTGCATTCTTTATTAATTTCTCATAAACAGCCCAGAGAGGGAAGTGTTCCCATTAGCTCCATCTGACAGATAGAGACACTGAGGCCCAGAGAGGTTCAGTAACCTGCCCAGAATTGCCCAGTAATAGTCCTCTCTCACCTCTGAGGTTCTGGAAGTCTTTGCTCTCCCTCCACCCCCCACTGGATATCTTACCCGAACGTTGTGGACCTGGTGGGGGCCAGCAGCCTCTGGTTCAGTCTTTCCAGAGGTCCGGTCTGTGGGTAGTCAGGGGTGGAAGGTTGAGCGATGGGATCATCTTGGATTCCGCCCCACCTGACAGGCTCCCAGATGCCCCCGCCCTCCCCTCCATTCACATGTACTTACCTGGATCCCTGAGGTTCCCCATGGCCACCTGGATGCTGCCCTCAGAGCTAGCACTCCCCACCCGGGACCGGCGAGGACCCTGTTCCTCCACAGGAATGGATAGTCAGAAAAGGGAGGCAGGCACCTTTCCATTATCCCCACTCCTTTTCCCTCCTTCCTTCCCCTGGCCCATGGGCCCTCTCTCACCTCTTCCTCACCCCCAAGCAGCACCAGCCTCCCATCGAGCAGAGTGAAGGCCCCAATGTTCCAGATGGGCACATCGGGGGTGGGGGCCTCAGGGATCTGAGGGCTAGGGGGCTCCGGCTCTGGCTCAGGCTCTGGGTAGAGGAGGAGATGCTGGAGACCTGGGAGTTCTCCTCGAACCTCAGACCACCCTTTTCATTCCCTGAGGCTCACTGGGGACTCCCTCCTAAGTGCCTCCCTTTTCCTTCATCCCCCCATCCCCACCCCAGACAGCCAAGTAGTTGTTGAACAAGGTCCTTCTCTGGGCCTTGTCCCCACTGGCCATGGGTAGTGGACTTAGCCGACCTACTATGTAACATGTTCTGTGTTTACTGCTTCACATGCTTTCTCTCATTTAATCCTCCAAAGCCACTGAAAGGGCTATTATAACCCCCATTTTACCAAGGAGAAAACTGAAACCTAGAGAGATTGAGTGATTCTTCTACATTCACAAGCTTGCGAGTGATTGAGCTGGGCCTCAGGTGCAAGCATTCTTCTCTGAACCAATTCAATGTGTAGGTCCGAGAAGTTAAACAACGGGACAGCGCCCTATTTTCTTACATAAATAACTAGTCTAAGGTGGAATATATTCAATGTTCGAGAAAGGGATAGAAAAAGGTCAGGGTGGGGGGGGTAGTGCAGTGGTCTCCCAGAGACAGTAAGTTTGTGCTAGGCCTTGATAGCAGGAACAGCTTGATCAAAGGCGAAGGCGTGGCAAGACCCAGGGAAATACAGGGAAGGACAAAGGAGTCTGGGGGACTCAGAGGCCAGGGAAGAAGAAGGTCCAGGAAGACACTGGTACAGGACCTTGGGTGCCAATTAGAAGGGGTTTTTTCCTGGGGGTTGTGTGGAGCAATGGAATGTACTTGAGCATGCAAAGATCAGATCTGCTTGTTAAAGAGCTCTCCCTCTGGATTCTATGGAGTGGGCAATACTTGACGCCTGGAGAAATTTGAAGGGATGATTTGCAAAATGGGGGCTGTGAATGATGAAAATTAAATGTGCTTCCGGGAACAGGAGGATCTGAACCGACCCTCCCAGATTACCTGTCTGTCCTACTGTCTTACCACTGGAGGAAGAAGAAATGATAACTCCCACTGTTAACAGACCACTTAAAATGTGCTGGGCCCTGGCCTGGTGCTTCACACATGAGCCCTAATGCTCATGGTACCCTTCTAGATCCCTCTGTGCACCACCTAGCCCCATCTGTCATTTCTTGTTTATACTTGTTCACTGCCTTTCATGTCCACTGCATTGAGCTTCATGGGGTAGCCAGTGACATTGTTTTGTTCACTGCTGTGTTCTCTGTGCCTAAATCAGGGCCTGGCACATAGTAAATGCTCAAAGACCTCTGCTTGAATGTATGAATGAATGAATGAATGAATGAATGAAATCATATTCCCTTCCAGGTAGGGATCATGATTCCCATTTAACTGATGGGGAAGCTGAGGCCAAAGGAAGTGAAGAAACTAAGGCATGGAAGCTGGAGAGCAGGAGGAGGCTGAGATGGATATCCAGGCAGGAGAGGATGGGACTGGGCCATTGAACATGAGACGAGACCAGGCGGGGCCAAGAGCCTATTCCCTGTCTCTTCCTCAGTGGACCCCCTGGCCCACAGGCCCTTGGCTACACCTCCCTCCCCCAGGCCCTGGGTAAGGGGGAAAGAGGGAAGAGGGCAGCTGAGTCCCAGCCATTTCCTGTTGGGCTTTTGCACTCCCCACAACTTCCTGTGTCTGTAAGTCTGATGCTCTGGAGGCAGACAAAACCCAAGCATCCGGCCCAAGCTCTGGGTGGGGGAGCCACGTACCTGAAGCTTCTGGTCTTGGCTCTGGCTCCAGTGCTGGGCTCTTATGCCTCCCCCAAAGGCCCTTGGATATTCGGGGGCGACTTGGGCGTGATTCCTTGGTGGGCGCAGAGAGGACACGACGGAACAGCGAACGACGAGCTGGTTGGCTGTTGACTATGGGTTCCTGGTGGCTCAGTGCTCTCCCCCAGCCCGCAAGGCGGCTCCAGTGGAACCCTCCAGCCCCCTTCTCCCCACCTCCTCCTGTGTGCCAGCGATAGGAGGTTAGTGGGGATGGGGCTGCAGGCTGGGTTTCAGAGGACTGGTGTGTTGGTAGTGGGTCCATGGTGGGGATTCTCCTGGGGGAGGAGAGGGTGACAGTTCTGGTTTGAGTCTGCCCACATGCTGCCCTTATCTCAGCCCCCTCCCTAATCTCAGCTCTGCCCCCAGAAAACCTCCCCACCCCCCGGGGGCCACACTCATTCCTTCTCTTACCTTGATTTCCTGACCAGCCTCAGAAGCAGCAAACCTTCTGCACACTGCCTGGCTTCCTCCTACCGAACGCTAGTCCACGTGACCCTATCTGTCCCACCCCACCCCACAGGCAGGCTGGCAAGACACAGTGAGGGCAGGATGCAGGGGGAGAGGAGGTGACAGAGCAGAAACCAGAATCTCTCAGTGATCAGGAGGGAGTACATGCCCCTCTCTGAGCCTCAGTTGCCTTCTCTGCAAAATGGGCACAGGCTGGTGAGAACATGGAGCCCCTGGAACTCTCATCCACTGCTGGTTAGAGTGTAGACTGATTCACCCAAGTTGGAAAACTGGTCTAATTGACAAACATTGACCATATGCCTCTCATCTGACCCAGCAGTTCACCCAATAGACATGCCCATTGACATTACTCATAATAGCCTCAAACTGGCAACAACTCAAGTGTCCACGTACCATAGAATGGGTAGATTGATGTAATTCAGCAAGGAGAGTGAACAAACTACTGAGTGATTGAACGCAGATAAATCACAAACAATGCTAAGGAAAAAAAAAGACTATACACTGTATTGTTCCATGTATATTAGGTTCCAAAGTAGACAAGACAATATGCAACAAGTATGGCAGTCAGTGTCCTTTGGAGGGGGTCCTGGGGAGGGGCATGAGGGAGGATTCTGGGAGCTGATCATGATTTTTATCTCTGCTTTTAAAATTGAGGTGAAAGCCCTGGCCGGGTGGCTCAGTCAGTTGAGCGTCATCCCATACACCAAAAGGGTACAGATTCCATCCCAGCTGGGGTTGGTCAGGAGGTGACCGATAGAAGTCTCATGTCAATGTTCTCTCGCTCTCTCTGTGTCTAAAGATTCAACAAGCATGTTCTCAGGTGAGGATTAAAAAAAAATTTGAGGCGAAAGCCACATAACATACATTTAATATGTCTATTTCTTAAGCAGGATGTTGGTTACACGGATGTGTTAGGTTGTGAAAACTCATTGATGCACTTTCCTCATAAATGTTATCATGAAAAAGAGGCAGGCAATTATTGTTCCGAGAAATAAGTGAGTCAACATGAGAGTCAGTAGAATCCTGGCCCATGAGTGGGTTCCAGTCCCAGCTGGTCCTTTTCTTGCTGTGTGGCCTCAGGCAAGTCACTTCCTCTCTGATCTTCACTTTCCATATTTGTACAACACAATGATAATATCAGTTTCAGAAGGTTTATAATAGGAGCCTTCTTTTATTCAAAAAAAGGTTTCCTGAGTGCCCACTGCGTGCTAGGTGCCACAGAAGCTACAGGGAATGAAACAAACATGATTCCTGCCCTCCTGAAACTCACAGTGCAGGGCAACCCCTACCTGGCGAGGAGGACTGGGATGGAGAGGCTGAACAGAAGTGTTGTTCTTTGAGCTGGAAAAACCTCAGGAAGGCTTCCCTGAGGAGGTGCATTTGCAACCTGAAGCATGAGAAGGAGCTGGCTGTGAGAAGAGCATGTTAGGTAGAAGAACTGGTTTGTGCAAAGGCACGGGTGACAAGAATCCACAGGGTAGGGTGGGTAGAATCACCTTGAAGGGCATGTGGCCTGTGCAGTCACCCAGGACTCCATGCTCAGAAGGGCTCCACACTACATTTGATTTAATGCTCTGCTATTGCTGTCCTGAAGTTCTTGTTTTTTGAACAAGGGGCCCTGCATTTCCATTTGTACTGGGCTTCACAGATTCTATAACTCATCCTGAAGAGGAGGGTGTTGGGTGAGAGCCAAAGACCCTTCTGGAGCTGGATGTAACAGGCAGGTGCACACAACTTAGATATACCCATTTTATTCATACCGCATCAGGCCACCCACTACACACTCATGTGGAGCCTTCTTATGTTCCTCCATGTCTCTGAGCATTTACCACCTCATTGCATTCTGGCTCCACTCCCACCTCCCTGTGTTTTTGCTGGAGTACTTTCTCTGACAGATGGAGCCCATGCAACAAGCAGCCCCAAAGTGCCAGAGAATTAGCACCTCCTTAAGAGAAGTCCTCGGCCAATGGCTATGGGAGTTGAAAGATTAATACTCCAGTTTCCTCACCACTTCAGTGGAATGACTTTAGGGCATGTCCTATACTGTCTCCCAGAGGTCCCCATTGGCATTGAGCTCCATTTGCCCCCAGTGCCAACTTGCTTGATAAGGTGCCGTTTCTGGGCTGCCTTCCCTTCCCTACCTCTCTTCCTTGTTCCCCAAATGATGTGTCCTGGGATGACCTCCCCAACTACTTGTACTGGAATTTTTGTCTCAGGGTCTGATTCTGAGCAAATCCAGACCAAGACAACATGCGCAAACACATAATGCATAGCCACAGACTTTCTTTCCACTGTCTCTTTATTGGAGGCCTGTGGCTGGCAGGGTCGCTAGAGGTAGCTTCCTCTTAGATATCCTAGAGGCCCTCCTGGCAATTCTTGGCTTCACATTCTAGAAAAGACAAGAGAGTGTGAGGCTTGGGGGGAGGGGGAGGCTGGGCTGCCTCTCCTCATGGTGGAAGCCTGTATGAGGAAGAAGAGAAAGTGAGGGGGTGGGTACAACTAATCACAGGCCAGCTTAATGACATAGAGTGGTAGTGTACAGGTAGCACAAAACTGTGCAGGTGTGTGAGTAGGGGTGTTTTTGTGGTGATTGAGGTCAGGGTCTGGGGCCAAGGTTGTGCTGGATTGCTCCAGCATAAGAATTGTTATCAAGGGTCAGGGATGCTGGGGCTGCGCAAGCATCCTCAGGGATGAGATTGTCTGGACAGAAGACTGAACCCTACAGTTAGGAACTGGACAGAGGATGTGCAGGCAAAGGGGTTTTCTGCAGGGAAACACCAGTTAGGTTACTGTTGTGTATACAGAGGTCCTTTGAGTAGGGGCCAGGGGTGAGCCCAAGGTTAGGTGGGCTGGGATGAGGCTGTGCAGGCAGAAGCATTGTGACTTGGGTATAGGTGATGCAGGCCAGGCTGAGTTGCAAGGGCAAAGGGGCTGCTGGAGGAGTCAGGGTCCATGCCCTGGTTGAGAGGGCAGACAAATTGAAAGCTGGGCAAACAACAAGGTGGCTGGATCAGGGGCTAGGCTGAGGTTGTGCAGGCGGAGGAAATGTTGCAATCAAAACAACTTAAAAGCTGGGACTAGGCTGACTGAATAGGAAGGCTACAAGGGAGGTTAGGGACCTGGCTGAGGCTGTGCGGGCGGTAGGGGTTACAGGAAAGAGAGGGGCTTGCTCAGGTGGGGGGGGGCAGGCAGGCAGGGTAAGGAGCTGAGCTTGTGTCAGATGGATCGCAGGCCGAGGTAGTACGGGCGTCACGGACTCACCGCTTCAAAGTGAGGCCAGGTGCTCAGCAGGTGGAAGAGCGCGTCACCAGGGCACTCCGTGCGCACCAGCTGGCGGTGGCCAAGCACTGCATAGTCCCGCCGCAGGAGGCCGGCGCGCACTGCGCACCTGGGAAGTACATCCCGCACAGTGCGCAGGGAAGCATCTGCAGGCAGCTCCGCAGTGTAGTTGCCCACGAAGGCCACGCCGAAGCCTCGGGAGTTGTGGCCTAGTGTATGCGCGCCTACCCAGTGCCAGCCGCGGCCCTCGTACACGTAGCCGTCTGAGCCCACCACGAAACTGCGGAGGAGAAGGAGGCAGCCAACCTGTGTCATCAGGGGTGCCCTGCCCGATGTCTGTGCCAAGTTTTGCCTGGTCGCACTGTCTCTGCCTAGTCCTGCCTCGTCCCACTCCACCAGAGGCCACCCCAGTAACCCTCTCTCCTATTTCTCGGGCATTAGCTACGCCCCTTTCTGTCCGACCTCTTCAAGTTATCTCAAGTCCAGCTCCTGCCCAATTCATAGCACTTTTCTGTCTTAGGCCTAACCCCATCACTGCAGGGCTTCAGTCCCAGAGGGTCCCACCCTAGTTTAGGTCACTCCCCTCTCCACCTTGGCCCCACCCACCCCACTCCTCCCTTCCACCAAGTTTGCTCTGGTCCAACCTGCCTCCAGAGTTAGGCTCCGCCCACTCAAGCTCTGCACCTAGTAACTGGCCCTGCCCTGCCCCAGGCCCCGCCTACCTGTACCCGATGTCATCCCAGCCACGAGTGTCCTGGTGGAAGCGCTGCATAGAGCGCATTTTCGCCGCACAGCTCTCGAAGGCCGTGCAGGGGGATGCGGGCAAGTATGTGTGATGCACGTACAAGAACCCGAGAGGCAGCCGCAATGGCTTCGGGTGGCCCCGGTACGGTGCTGCACCCCAGCGGCAGCGGGGGTGGATGGCAGGGCATCCTGCAGGGAAGGGCGTACAGGGCTGGGGTTAGTCATCGTTTCTCTTCCTGCTGCCCGTACCCCCATTAGAGTGCATTCTGTGGGCCATTTCCCCAGCCTCCTTCCAGATTTTGGGACAGTCCAGTCTCACACCACAGTGGCCTCCCTGAAGATCTAACTTAACTAAATCTTACAGCATCCCAGTCCCATCGGAATTATCAGCTATGACTCCCACCCCCTTCAGGAATTGTAGGTCAGACTTCAAGGTTCTTTTCAACCCAGGACACAACACTCTCTTCAGCTGGCCCTGCCCTGAGGCCTAGGAGAGACAGCCACACTGAGAAAGAGGAATCTTGGCCCACAACCATTATGCTTTAGTTGTGTACTACTTGCTTTCTTTCTCAAACCATCCAGCAAATCCAAGAGGTAGCAGATTAACCCCACTTCAATGAGAAAAATGAGATTCAGAGCAGTGAAGCAACTCACCTAAAGATGCAAGGAATAACTGGCTGATTTTTATTCCAATCTCTGTGCCTTTGCATGTGTTGAGCCCACCTCCTGCAGTGCCTGCTTCCTCACTTTTTTTGTTGTTGTCGTTACATGAACTCCTATTCATCCTTCAAGACCTAAATTTAGCCTTTGCTTACCTCTGCAGCTGCCCTGTCTCCTCAGCGAGAGACCTGTTTCCCCCTCTGGAATTCCTAGTCCTGGCTCCCCCTGACCGCCTGGGGCTGAGAGTGTCTGTCTCCGTGAGAGGGAGAGTACTGGGGGAGGGGGCCCTTCTCACCCAAAAAGGCTTCAGTGTACTCCTTGGTGGCAAGGGTGGCCACCTGTGCCAGCTGTTCTTGGCTCATGCCCTGAAGCTGGGGGTGTGCTGGCTCCAGTCTCTGTAGCAGGATGAGGGTGCCCCAAACCTGCTGGGTCAGGGCAGGGGCTGAAATCAGAGCAGCTCCGTTCTGCCTTCGGAAATTGCTGCGAAATCCTGGGTCTCCAGCCACCCCAGCTCCATAATACTGGCTCAGGAGGTGGCTAAGGGGTGGCCGGGGCTCAGGGGCCCGGCTCAGGTAGTCTCCAAGGAGGACCCCATCCAGAGCACCATTGAGGAAGGCCATCGTAAGCAGTGATGCCCCAGGGGCCAGGAGCGTGAAGTTCCTGGGGATGGAGAGCTGGTCCCAGCAGCCCTCAGCTCCTAGGCCTGGGTGGCTCTGGGTCTGGGGGCCCTGGAGGAAGGTCAGACCCAGGTCTCTGGCCAAGGTGACCACCAGGAGGCTGTCCACGGTGGTTGGAGACTTTGCTTTGGCATCTGGTGAGGAGGTTTGGTCATCTAGAGAGGTGACTTGGACATCTGAAGAGGGGTCTTGGACGTCTGGAAAGATGGCTCCCACATTGAAATTTGTGGCTCTAACATTTAGAGACATAGCTCCCACATCTGCAGAGCTAACATCCGGAGAGGCATCCCTGAGTCCTGGGGAGGTGGCTTTTACATCAGGAACCATGGCTCCAGCATCTGGAAAGGTGGCTCTGACACCCGGAGGGGTGACTGTGCTGTCCAAGGGCAAGTTTACGACCTTGTGCCTCTGCAGTCCTGCTTTCAGCCCAGCCAGAAGAGGCTCCACAGCCACTGTCGAGCCATCGGGTGCCAGTACCACCCCATATTCCTGCCTGCCCCGCACATCATGTCGAGCCACCTCCTCCATCAGGCCTCGAAGCTCTGGACTCAGTGCAAGGAGATCCAACTTGGTGGCTCTGAGACTCCATCCTTCTAGCAGGAAGTGATAGAGGGGATCATGAGGACCAGAGTCGTGGGCTGACAGCTTCCACATGGAGGCGGTGTGGCTGGCCTCAGTGACTGGGGCCTTCTGCTCCAGCTCAGCCAGAGCCTGGATGACAGAGTCCATGAGGAAGGGTAGGGATGCTGCAGGAGGAGAGATGGCATTAGCGCAGCGGCCCAGCACCCCCTGTTCCTGAGCCTCCTGCTGCTGCTTCCACATCTTCTCAATGCTCTCCATCTGACAGCCCTGTGACTCCCAACACCATCCTGTGTAAATGAGGAAACTGAGGCACAGACAACAGGTTAAGGAGTTTAGACTATCTGTGAGCACTGGGGAGCCACGGCAGGTTCATGACCAGGGGCATTTTAAGATTACTCCTTTGACTGCCTGTGGAGAGTGAATTTTCAGGAGGCCAAGGTAGAGAGAGGGAAACAATGTGGAGGTGAGCAATAAAGATTGCCAAAGCTAGGTTGGTGGCAGCGTGATGGACAAAAGTGGGCAGAGTCCCTAGGTATTCTAAGGGAAAGATGGACAGTTTTTGGTGGTGGATTGGAGTTTGGGGAATTTTAAAGGGCAAGGTGTCTGGAGGATGTGCAGGGAGGGAGAGGGTGGGCCTGTGTCTTGTAGAGGAAATGTCAGCGGCTGAACTGGAACCCAGAAGTGCTGGGCTCAGAGCTGAGTTGTTGAATAATAGCTAACATTTCTTAAACATTTACTATGTGCCACGTGACTTAGATAACTTAACAAATTTAATCTTTACAATGACCTTGTGAGCTCAGAGAGATGAAATGACCTGCCTTAGGTCACACAGACAGGAAGTGGAAGAAGCAGGATTATGAACCCAGAAATCCCAGTAGACAGTCCACACTGT